AATCTGAGTTTTCAGACAAGATACAGCTTTTGAGTAAATACTCATCACTTGGAAGTAAGGAAACTTTCAGCAACAGACCATTTCACAACGGTCTCCTGAAATGGCGCTGAGGTTTTTGAATATAATTTTATACATAACCCCCACCAGGGGACCCCCAAGCTACCAAGCATGATGACTGCACGGGTTAGCACGAGCATCGTGAGCAGTGGGACCACACAGAACAGAGATGAGGAGACCTGAGACCATGATACGTCTACTAAGGCCCATAGCACGCTACATGAGAGAATACCACAAGCTGCACCCTGCAGACATTTCCCCATGACTTGGTAGAGAGGGATATAATCTTTCTGTCCTGTGTTACTTGGGTATAAGTCTGTGTAAGGATGACAGGTTTGGATTAATTACCTAAATCAAGTCATAGTTTTAAATATCAGAAAAGCACTACATATTCAAGGGGAGGGGTGAGTTTCAGTTTACTGGCATGAGAAATATTGTCACTGGGCGCTTGAGAAGGCAACCTTACGCAACGATGGAGTGCGCCGTATCACTCTTAAAATGGCTAATTTGAGTCTACAATCCTTGATTCCAGACCTTTCCCAGCCTCCTGGACTTCTAACAGAACACCAGTGCAACACTCACGCACACATATGTTTTAAGCACTCCTATGCACACCAGTGCTGGGAAGGGGTGACGTGTCAATGAACAAGGCCACGGAGGCCACTGCCTTTAGAGCTTATCCATGGTAGTGGAAGAATAAATAAATAAATAAACAAACAATTAAATAAAAGTGATAATGAGAATTTTAGGGTATGATAAATTAAAATTTGTTTGTCTTTCTATTTTGCAAACAGGAAGGGAAATGATAAGTGTTAAAAGGAAAAACGTAGAGCAAAGGGGGAGTGGCTATATTAGATAGGGAGACTCCCTAGTCGAGGGAGCTTGTGACGACCAGGTCTGCAGCAGCCTGTTGCTCACAGTGGTCATCTTGGCACACCATGATGTTGCCTCGAACATATTAGATATCAAATAAATAGTGGTTGGGTGGACAAAAGAGTGAGTCTGGACCTCAGTAGTACACAGGATAAGAATGTCTCCTTCCAAATTTGGAATGGGCCTAAGAGACTAGAATAGAACTATTCTAAACTGCTCAGTTTGTCTTGAGGAAATGAAGGAAAAACCAAAGAGATTAAGTGACTGATAACAGATTTCACAATGAGTTGGTGGCAGAGCCATTGCTTGGTCCAGGGGTGCTCTTATCTGTGCACTGTATTTTTTTCTTTTCCATTTTCCAGAGGAAATCTCTTCCATTGTCAACTGCCTCTGTGATAAGAAAACTTTGAGGCATTCTTTGAGTCATAAATAATGTTATCGATTATAACAAATGTGCTGCTCGGGTGCAGGATGCTGATAGTGGGGGTGGCTGTGCATGTGCAGGGTCAGGGTGTACATAGGAACTCTACTTCTTATTCAATTTTGCTGTGAACCTAAAACTGCTCTAAAAAATAAAGTACTGGCCGGGCGCGGTGGCTCACGCCTGTAATCCCAGCACTCTGGGAGGCCGAGGCGGGAGGATTGCTCAAGGTCAGGAGTTCAAAACCAGCCTGAGCGAGACCCCGTCTCTACCATAAAAATAGAAAGAAATTAATTGGCCAACTAATATATATAATATAAAAATCAGCCGGGCATGGTGGTGCATGCCTGTAGTCCCAGCTACTTGGGAGGCTGAGGCAGGAGGATCGCTTGAGCCCAGGAGTTTGAGGTTGCTGTGAGCTAGGCTGACGCCACGGCACTCACTCTAGCCTAGGCAAGAAAGCGAGACTCTGTCTCAAAAAAAAAAAAATAAAAAA